CTCTTTATAATATTACTATAGAGGACCTTGGAGTCACAGCAAAAGATAACATTTTGGAAATTGTTGACTTTCCTTATCACATACAATCTGCAGAAAGGTGCGTAAAGCTTATAACAGACGCCTAACAGAGTGTAACTGACTCTACACCAAGGGATGGCTTTATTAGAATTAGAAGCAAGTTATAGTCGTGAGCAAAAAGGTCAAATTTCGAACAAAATATATGTTTTTTTTTTGTTACTTAATTGAATATAAATAAACCTTTTTTTCCGATATCTTTTATTTTGTATAACTACATTTAGTATGAATACTTATTAAACTTGTCTTTTGTATTACATAAAACATGCTATATAGGCAAATTTTGATAACTCTTACGATATTGTAACTTGAATTTTTTTTTTCTTTTTATGTAATACGGGTAGAGGACATAAGTTCATGAAGCAGTGTTATGTGTCTTTGTAGACCATTCATAACGGGTTTTGTTTTGTATTAATGGAGTGCGCGTCGCGTCGCGGCTCGGTGAAAGCGGACCCTTATAGTTATATCACAGGCTCGTAGTGCTGTCCTCACAAAAAAAAATCGCTTTTCACTTAACATGGTATTGCACGTTACCCATTATCCACTTTCTATTTTGTGATTCTGGATCCCTAGCATAAGCACCGCGATATGATATAAAGCTCAGTGTTATCACGCTCAATTGTCAAATTACTATGGAGTATGACAGTAACACGCGATAAAAAAACCAGATATATTGCAAATTGTGGTGCTCATGCTACGGGGGCTGGATCCGCCATTAAACATGCAAACCACATATAGGTACAGAGGCATCTTACAATATCGTAAAATTTACTCTTATGTATAGCATTCTATATAATTTATAATATTAAATAAACCACTTTTTTGTAAGTCTGAACCTTAATTTTGTCATTCTGCCTTAAAAATCTTTAAGTATCAAATCTATTCTCATTGAAGGTCGGCGGGTTATTGACACCATACCTACGTACCGACATGTTTTGCGAAAAACAATCTACCTACTTACAGTAATTCTACAAAAGTGATTTGGTTAAATAATAATATGAGCTCAAGTAACCCTCATCCTTATTGTACTTACTTACGTCATGAGATTTTCTAAACATGCATTTTATGCAACTTCACGAAATGTTGAGTAGATAGTTATTTAGTTACGTATAAAATGTTTGTAAATAAACAAACATGAAAACTGTTATCAGATAAAATATAATAATGTGTAATACCTACCTAATAAGTTCCTACCTTAGCTTTTATCTATAGTCTTATCGCATCTTTCATACATAACCACTACTACTTTTCGTGTAAATTGTTTTCATATGTAAGGACACTGACCTCTGTGTCGCAGTATCGGTAAAGTTATAGGTAGGTAACTACAGTTTTTCCTTAGTATTTTTTTTGGGTAACCAACATCAAACTACAAATTACACCTGAACGGTTAAATAGTTTCCCTCTTACAATAGGACCCTAATACCTGCTTTAAAAAAAATGTCTGAAAATAATCCATCACTTTTCATCTAAGTGAGTGTAATACGTATCTAGGTGCTTACGCTACGGACTCTAATAAAATTGGCAGAAGCTTTTAATCTTAATATTGTGTGTATCAACATAACAAACATAAAAGAAAAAATTGTAAACCTCAAGTACTTGCTACCTAGATATAGTTTTATCTATGTACCTATACATGTTTAGGGTATCTTGAATTTCAAACTTTTTACGTAACGTCATTTTAAGTAAAAACATACTTTCCAACTAAATGCTTGTACCATATTTTAGTTCCTCCTAAAGTTGACAGGGATATTGTACTTGAGGGGAGCAAGTCGCGCATGTAATCAATATCGAACCCCTCCCTGTTTCGTACTTGTTTTGCGTCGAAGTTGCGCGCGCAGCTGGAAAACTCGACCGGTTACTAGCGCCTTTTCGCGCCTAAGAACTTTACAACTTTCCTTCTTTAGTAGCTTTACTCGGACGCGTTTAGAAATGCCAAATTTTAAGTTTAATGACATATTTTATGCCTTTTTTTGACAACCACAAAATTTTATAGTAATGTTTTATGACTGCAGCCTTTTAACATCGGTGCTGCGGTCGTTAAATGCTAATAATACATTTTCAGGCGTTATACAGGTATTACCTATCTGTAAATAAATCTATCTAGGCTTATAAATGTAAGATTTATTATCATTACCTAAGCTACATAGAGTACACAATCAAAAGCAATCGTATACAATAATTATTAAAACTACTCTCCATTGCGAATCCCACGTCCTGTTATCATCAGGACTAGGAAATTTTTAACGTATTGCTCGCATGAAACAGGCTAGTTTTTTCTTAGACGTCGATTTTTCACGTTCACACGGACACGGACGTAAAGAATCGGCGCAAGAGCCGACCACGGCGCGCGGGTTCAAGGCGAACGCGCGCGGTCAGGTTCGAGGACACGGCGGGCGCGGCGCGGCGCGAGGCTGGCCCCTTGCGGCGCCCCCGCCATCGCCTCGCTATACTCTACTGAAAATCATTTTCGCGCATTTATATAATTTTATACGAATTACACAACACAAAATATCAATGAGTGCACACAAGTTGTGTAGGGTGCACTCAGGGGAGTCCTTAAGGATTTCATTATGTAGTATGTGCTCTCACTTTCTTTTCCTTACAAATAGAATAAGACAACATGTCTCGTCACCTTGACAACGTTCATTTCATTCATGTTTCAGTGAAGTGCGATGTTAAACTTTACAAATAGAATAGAATACCTATATAGGTACTCATATCAAAGTTCCTGTAGACAGAATACCTTAGAATAAAAACGCCAGGAGCCTACAGGCACGAAAAAAGCTCAATTCAATATGATCGCGAAAATTTTAAAATATTAGTTTATATTGTTTATAAATAGTTCATACACGTCTTGTAGGTTCGTAACTATACCCACTAGAAATCAATAATTTATATACACAACTTTTACAATACATACAATGTTGCTAGTTGTGGGAAAAAAATGCACACAATATTTTCATTGATTCATTGGTAAATATTGTTATTGTAAACTTTCCACATATTTCTGATAGGTACATATATTTATTTATGTAAAACTGAAATATTGGTTAGAGAAAATCGCGATCGGTTTGACATAAAGGCGATTTTCTCAAACTTTACTCTGATTAAGGTACCGCTTTTAAGCTTATCAGGGCAGTATTTGTGTGCGTTAATACAGTCAAGTTACGCACACAACAAAATAATTCGGCACGCACCGCTCTTGTATCTGTACACTCGAAGAAGCCAATGATACGACTGTGTATCTGTACAAAATATTAATCTGTGATTAAAAAGTGCTCCAACTACAATAATTCCACTCGAAGAAGCCGGTGACTTTTAGTTAGGTTGTAATTAAACGCTAAAGCACTACATTTTTATTGTTTATTTCTAAGAACTCATCTCATATTATCGAAGTATGAATTTTGAAGCTATGTATAATACCAACTTAAATTTTACACATTCAGTAGCATGTAGATGCCTAAAGCCAGATGAACTCTCAATAAAATAAAACGAGTTCACGGCCTCGCATAACACGAGTTCTGCGATGACTGACAAAACGGATAAATCTTTATTGTACCTAGGTTTGTACAATACCATACCCAAACGAAATTCCTATTAAGTTAAAAATTCAAAGTAAAATTATTTAATGATGGTAGGAAAGTTATATATTTTCACTTCATATGAGTTTGGCAATTTAGTGTCTTGCTACTGTATGTCTACATGTATGTAATTAATCTAATTATTAAGATATCACTCGTGGCCACACCTATGCAGTACAAAACTATAATTCAAGGACGCTTTAATTTTGGCGTTGTATAATTTTTACCAATATTGGAATTATTGGAAGCTTACCCAAAAAAAGGCCACGTGGTGAGAGAATGGAACATCATTAGGGGCGCAAGGCAATTCACCCTCTTTCGATCAAGTATTGCTGTCCTTTTTCCTTCCCCTACCTTTTGCTGTCTCGCTCAGATAAGACGGCGGGTGCGGCGCGCACAGCAACGTGGGATGTATGGTAAACAAAGTACCTAGTCCTTTGTATTCATACCTGAACATAATATTATATGAAAGTTCAAATTGATTATCAAAAATTTATATTAGGTAGACAATCATTATTATCTGATTAAGTAAGTAGGTACTTCTAATTAACTGCCACAGTAATTTACTATCAAACGCATTGATTGAGTTAATTATTTGTCGTTTAATAAGTTAATGCATTAACAAGTTCTTGTCTTGTTTTTTACTATACCGTTTCGAGTACTTAAGTCTAGTAAAAACGACGAAATATAAATCCGAAATACTCTAAGATATGCGCAAGGCAGCGTTTCATTCTTGGGTTGCTTTTTTATACCAAATTGTAGTCAACCCATCGAGCCCTCACGGCCAACTAACAACAGGTTGGTATAGGTCTTCACAAAAAAAAGGTTCTTTGGGTAGAAAGGATACTGTTCTGTTCGCCCGTCGTCACAATAATAATATAACGAAATGAAAAAACTCACAGTTATTTAAATTATTTATGTATGACTTACTAAAAACTATAATAAGAATTAAATTTAAGTACTTAAAGTTTTACATACTAGAGACCTAATTTTATTTATGTTTAGAAGTGTCATCAATTTAACTAACTAGGACATCCAATTTTTAAAACCTACAACTTTTCCTATTATTATTTGCTTTTAATTACGATATTTGGACACAAATGTTCATTTCCTTCGTCGGTTGTGACAGGCGGTGCAGTGCGCATACCATAATAATCGAAAACTGGTTTTGAACTATGTTGTGGTTTCATTGTTACTCGATTGCACTGCCCCATTCTAACGTTCCGTTGTTAATTTCCAATAGTATGAATACTGGCGCCAAAATTGCGAGCTCGTTCTTAACTTGACGATCTTTCACAATTTTCAAAGACAGACAATGACTATTGATTTTTTTTTTTGTTCCAGTTGTGCTCAGACATGGATTTATATATCACCGACTCTCTCCAGGACATGCTGGACATGGACATAAAGAATGAAATAGCAACAGATCTCAGCAGTATATCAGACTTTACTGTTAGTACACTTAAAAAAAATGATAGCTTCTATCAAGTTACGACGAAAAAAATATTGTTATTATATTCTTTTCTACTATTTTGCAGGATTCGTTGGGAATGAATTTCGCTGAGATGCCCCCTTTGTTAGATGTTGATGCTGATACATCAGCCACATGGTTAAACACTACTTCTAGCTTTGTACACAATTTAGATTTATACGGATCGGAAGCAAATGCTGTTATGGTAAATCCTAATTCAGTAATGCCTTCAACATTTGCCGACACTCCAGTCAAAAGTATTGTTAAAGAGGAAGCGTCGAATTTGTTGTTAACATCAGCAGCAAACAACGATTTGAGTACAAATACGTCACTACCTAGTCCAAAAGAAGAAAAAAGTCATTTAACATTTTCACCAAACGCAATCAAGGTACCAAAATTACAAGAACCGGAAACAGAACCCACGACAAAAAAGCATTTAGAAGAAGCCACGCAAATGGTCATATATGTTCGTAAACAAGAAAAGAATGTTGTTAAGGATTTATTAAGAGATTTAGATAAATCGAAAGTAATAAATACAACACCAACGGTGCGAATAAAAACACAACCTGAAGTGTTAAAAGTTAATAGTAAAAATTGTTCTATTTTAAATACTAACCAAAAAGTTACTCAACATATAGGAACGAAGACTATTATTTCTGGTAATATACATATTTTAGACGCCCAACAATCTAGGACAATTCTAGCAAATGGTAATAAGAATCAAGCGACGATACTGATTGATAACTCGTCATTAAATAACAGTAGACAATTATTAAAAACCAGTAGCACATTTACTGTTGATACAAGTCAAACCAAATTTATTAACACTAGTAAAGGTACAACCGGTAGCGGAGAATTCCCCAAGCCTGCTTACTCTTACTCCTGTTTAATAGCAATGGCGCTTAAAAATTCACGAACGGGTAGCTTACCCGTATCAGAAATTTATAATTTTATGTGGTATGTATGATCTCTACTCATTTTTTTTTCTATTTTATGTAAGTGTTAAAAGTTTAATGATATTAAATTAATAACTGTTATTTCAGCCAACACTTTCCTTATTTCAAAACGGCACCAAACGGGTGGAAGAATTCCGTACGACATAATCTTAGTTTAAATAAATGTTTTGAAAAAATTGAAAAGCCATCTACGAACGGAAGTCAAAGGAAAGGTATGATAAATCTACAAAATTTTAACTCTGGTAAATGTTAGTTACGCGTCGACTTCAGTTTCATATTTTATTTTTATCATTATAGGTTGCTTATGGGCTATGAATCCTTCAAAAGTAGGAAAGATGGATGAAGAAGTCCAAAAATGGTCGAGGAAAGATCCCCAAGCGATAAAAAAAGCGATGGTTTATCCAGGTAGCTGAACAAAAAAATTTAAACATAAATAGTATTATCTATAGAAACGTGCACAAAGTTGAAATCGCCTTCCTTTTTATTTTCAGAGAGTTTAGAGGCCCTTGAACGGGGAGAGATGAAGTACAGTGGAGCCAGTGCCGACGCTGATGTGGATGACGATGGCGACGTTGATGCCGAGGCTGAACTTGATGCCGACGTAGAAATAGACCCAGAGATCAAGGAGGAGGTCGAAGAAGAAGAAACTGTCATTGAACAGGTAAATATTGTGTTTTTATGTATGAATCCATATTTTATTTCTCATATTATACCTTTATGAAAACATGTAAATGGCTTTGTTATTAGTTAGTACGTACTGCATATATACATACATATTTAATATCCTGCATACACAACATTTGATAAAATACGTTAATAAATTGTGTAATTATAATAAAAAAAAACATATAAATCTCTTTCCCAACTACAACATGGTAGGAAGCGAAATAGTTACAGAATTTGCCCCAAAATAAACATCTATTTTACGTGATGTGAAACAGAATAAGTTGATATTAATAGTGATAATTTAAAGTATACTGTGAATCAAACTTATGGTGACCGTGAATTAAGCGCGATTTTCGTGGCGGTGCACTTGTCACTGACCGAAAGCTCCGCATAGTTGCGCTGCTACCTTCACAACGCCACACGCCGTTTGAATCTCACTTTACTCACCTAATAATTATAATAATAAATTCATTTATTTGCATCACAAATTAATACAATTAAATAAACAGACATAAATGATTATAAATTTAACAGTTCTTAAATAACTACCATGAACTACAATCATTAGTGAGTGACAGTGATGCAAATAGGCAGAAGCTCAGCAGTGTTTTTGCCTTAATAGACAAAATGCTGATTTTCAGCAACTGCCCGTAGGAAGCGCGAGGATGTAGGTACGCTGCACTGCAAAGCTGGCATTGTAATTCCCTAGTCCCACACAAACACAATACACGAACATCACTTACTTCATTATTAATTTACCTAGCAATATTTGTTAATAAAATTTTCTAAATAATAATAAATAAATGTATGTAAGTAATCATTAAAAAACAAAATTGTGTAGACAATATTAAATAAATATGTGTAAGTAATAATATAAAATATAAATTTTAATTTGAATGTCAAGAAGATTGAATGCTAACAGAAGAACCTCCACGAAAACGACAATTAGTGCGTATGCCTAAAGTTTGCAACTTCAGTAAGGCTAATTTAACCTAATCATTTGTCACAGGAGTTGTCAGATCAAGAATTGGAAGTGGAGGAAGTGGTTGAAGGCACGGGTATGGTGGGAGGAACGTACAGACTGCTAGCCACGGGGCCCTCCGCACTGGCTTCATACATTACTGATGCCGACTCGAACGACGACCTCAGCGATGTCGAGGTGAGTCCACAGGCTTTCAGACCAGGTGTTGGAAGTTGTTGAAGGCACGGGTGTACTGAGGGGAACGTACAGATTGCACGGGCTTCTTACTGATGCCGACTCGAACGACGACCTCAGCGATGTCGAGGTGAGTCCAAGAGCTTTCAGACCAGGGGTTGGAAGTGGTTGAAGACACGAGTATAGTGGGGGGAACGTACAGACTGCACTGGCTTCTTACTGATGCCGACTCGAACGACGACCTCAGCGATGTCGACGTGAGTCCATAGGCTTTCAGACCAGGTACTGGAAGTGGTTGAACGCACGGGTATAGTGGGGGGAACGTCCATACTGCACTGGCTTCTAGTCCAGGAAATGAAGCTAAAAAAATGGTAATACCTCTCAATTTTTTCGTCCAACACCGATTTGTACAAAAATTTGGGATTAGGCTTATTTCACCCTCTAGTTCATTTTCTATACTGTGCCGTTGTACGCTTTTTGTTTTTTAGGGGTTAAAACTACCCCTTAATATCGAAAATTATAAAATTAAAAACCTAAATATGGGTAAATATAGTTAAAAAATGATTGTTTCATGCTTTAGGATACAATTTCATAATCTTTCCATTGTTAAAACTACCCTTAAAAACATTGAAATTGTTTTTTCGAAAAATAAGATTAATCGGTTTTTTAAGCATAGCTCCTTCATTTTAGGTGATAGATTTTTTTTTGCAGAAACCAATTTTGTACAGTTTTCAGGAGCTTTAATACTATATGAATTAAATTACTTAAGATCCCTTAATTTTTAAATAGTAAGAGTTTAAAGCGCTTGAATAAGGTGATGTTCGATCGTAAATGTAGGTGTTAAACGGCTATATCTCGACGAATATTCACTGTACAAAAAATATGCACACGGAAATTTTTTCATTAAAAAAGCTACAATTTAGTACTATATCGTTTTTTCCGTATTTTTAGTATTTTGGGAGATATTTTTAAGAAAATTGTGTTAAACACGAAATTTAAAAAAAAAAACCGTTATCTCTTCAAACTCCAATTTTTCTAAAATTTGGCACTTTTAATTGGTCAAACTTCGTGTGTGTATTAATAGTACATATATAAAGAGAATTACAGAAGGGTTGCGATCACTTTTAATTAGGGGGTACTTTAGGGGTTCTATTCACAGATTTTTTTCGTAGAAAAAAGCTGGTACCGATCTTATTTTGATCATAAGTTGGTCAATTTTCATGCTAGAGACATTGTTTTTTATTTGTTTGAAAGCTCTTATTAAATACTTTAAGAGATTCTATGAGCTTCCTTCGGATAATTTTTCTCGTTATTTCTTGAGCTGTTCCCTACCTTTTGTAAAAATTTTAAGTAAATCCATGATGGACTAAAAAATTGGCAGCCAAAATGCTTCATATCCTGGACTATTCTTACTGATGCCGACTCGAACGACAACTTCAGCGATGTCGAGTTGAGTCCATAAGCTTTCAGACCAGGGGTTGGAAGCGGTTGAAGCCACGGGTATAGTGGGAGGAACGTACAGACTGCACTGTCTTCGTATATTACTGATGCAGATTCGAACCCCAACGTGGAAGTGAGTGAGAAGATAAATTGTCTCTTTACTGGTCTATATGTAAAAATAAGATAACTTTAAGAGTACTTTATGATTTAAGTTTAAACTCTTTCTATCCTTTAGTTCTTATTCCGAGGCTTATACCTGCCCAATAAAAATCTAACTAATTCGATTCGATGTAATATATGTAGAAATAGGTAAGCTTTGTTTCTTGGCAAACAATGTATTAGTGAAAATGTTTCACATCTTTATATACATATGTTTTATATTAAAATATAAATGACGATAGTAACTAAATAATTCGAACCCACTACACATTTTGAATTCTACATGTTTTAAAAAAACAATAACAAAATTAAATATCTATTATAACTTTGTTACAGGTGCTAGATCATTCCTATGAAGAAATTGATATCGATGTTACAAAACCTGTCAAACTAGACTTATCTTTAACGGAAAATTATACAAGTGAGTAGTTATTACATTTAACTGCATTAATTTAATTTATTTCTAAACACGCATTTAATGATAATTGCCGTCCAATATCATCTATTCCAATTTTATAAATGCGAAAATGTTTCTGTCTGACTGTTACCTCTTGACGCTCAAACCGCTGAACCGATTTAGATTAAATTTGGTACAGATATAGTTTAAGTACTGGGAATGACATAGAAAAGGGGTGGAAGTTTTTATGAGAAACCAATTTATCCACGCAAGCGAAGTCGCGATCACGCACTAGTTTCATTTATACATTCATGAAACTAATTTTTTAAATAGCCCCATAGTATGTAGATAAAGATACAGTGTTGTTAAAATCACTTATTTATTTTTTGCAGTGCATTCAGCTAAGCGGGCTAAGACGAGTTTTGTTTACCAACCAATGACGACACAATCGCATACGAGCAGACGAAAAACGCCATTGGTCAACCGAGTTGCACTTATGTAAGACATTTAACTATAGACAACTATGTGTTAAGTTTTTAAAATTGTGATCGCAAGACGGGGGTCAATGATAAATATAAGTTTCCAGTGATTGTTCCATTAAAATTTAAATATAAAAAATAAAAAACGACTAAATTTTGTAATTTTAGTATTTGTGAAGTTCACGTTCGTGAGGTTTCGAACGCGATAGTCTGTACCAGATATGTGTATTTACTTTTTTACCGAATCGGGACACTTGTTACATATCTAACACTAAGTATAATATATTATTTTAATGATGCCTAAAAATCCTGGTCGGTTTAGGGTGGCTTTACGTTTTGACATCTCAATGTACAATGCAATCAATTATATGTAATGATGTATGTAGGTATATTTTTCTATAATGTAAACTGTCATAAATATATATCGGTACCTTATTATGGTTGGTATCTGACCATATAATCAGTACAAAGACTGTGTATTGCTTCTGCATTGACAGCTTTTATTTTATATGAGATAAAACTGACTAGGAATACATAATATCTTCACGTTAGCAAAAATAATGTAAATTATGTATTCCTACATAGTATATCTATATAAAACATATAAGTTAAAGCCTCCATACAGTAGCAAGCTAAAGTGCGTAAGCGGGTAAGTGTTTGTAAAAATCCCACCGCTTTTTGCATATAAATAATATTATATATTAATATCGTAGAACACATTTTCTGTAAGTATATGTTAAATTTTCTACTCATTCTTTTTTCATATAAAGGAGTGAACAGTTCATTTAACAACGTGTCTGTCTGCATTTTTGCATATTTGTTTGAAAAATTAGTAAGAGTAGATTATGTTAGTTAAGATTGATAAGAACTTTAGTATCTCTAATAAGTATTTTGTATCTATTATATAGTACAGAAATAAGACTAAAGGAACAAAATTTGGAACGAAAACCGAACTAGGTACCTATTTCTTATTACAGTCAAAATTTGTTGAATTAACGTGCATATAATGGATAACTTACTGTACTTTAAATAACAGATAAAGTGGCATTTGTATACCGAAGATATCTACTCAGATTATTATAAACATACTCGTGGTAAAACTACTGCATTACGATTTTCAAAGCTAAAATAAAATGTACTGCATTATTTTAGTAATATTGACCTACGAAATCATTTTTACAGACTCAAATAATTTCTCATTGATTTTGTAATAATATTTCAAACGCCATAAAGTTCACAAACAGTTAAAATGATCATAATGAGTATTTGTAATAACAAAATCACACTAATCACACTAATATTATAAAGGCGAAAGTTTGTGAGTGTGTATGTTTGTTACTTCTTCACGTCTAAACGGCTGGAGCGATTTTAATAAAATTTGGTATGGAGTTAGATGACACCCTGAATTAACACATAGGCTACGTTATACTGCGGTAAAATATCCCTAATAAACCGCGGGGCACAGCTAGTAAATACTAAAAATAAAATAGGGTCCCCCTATACATGAAACGTGATTTCGCCTATGTCTTACGCTCAACTTCAAAAAACTACTTTATTACAAATGTTGCATTTAGAATGATGGTAAGGAACTCTTAAAAACCTTTTTTACGCTATAACATGATCATGTCCATCGTCTTTAACGTTAGTAGCAGATTTATTTTCGTTCAACCGTTATTATCATAGGTGAAAAAAAAAAACAAACAAAATGTGCTATGCGATCAAAGCAAGAGTAGAATTATCAAATGACCATGTTCGTTAATATTTCACCAATCCCTAATATCGTATATTAACGTTAATCCATTATTAATATGTAAAGTTAATCAAGGTAATAAAATAATATAAATGATCTTCATTAATCAAGCATGTTGGGTTCGCATAGTCAATATAGATACATAAAAATGCAGTACATACTTCACAATATGTCTTGTACAGAAAGCCACAAACTGTCCCATTTTCTCAATACATTCTGAGTTCTATGTATATATAAAGCTTGAATTCATTTGAATAGACAGTTTTGTGAAATTTTACTCGAGGACTGTATGTTCTTTATATTTATTTGTGGCAAGGCATGTGGAACGGATCTCTTCGGGTCCTTAAAACACTTAATTTTTTTAAACAAGCAGGACAACGTAGTTCTTTGAGTAATTGCTTTACAAATGATTGTGTGTGAATTACACACTCCATTTTGCATTTATTTCGTTTAAATAAAAAATATGTGCTTATAACGATAATGATAAATAACAAAAGCCACAAATAAATAAAAGTCTAACATTGAAAACATTTAGAACCAAAGAAATGACATTTTGATTCAATAGAAAGAAAATACCTATGCTAAAATCTGGTATATACGCCAGGTCAAAATTAGTGAAGGTAGTAAGTAAAATCAGGTCGGTTGTGTGTAGATCTCGAATGTTGGTTTATGTGTGTAGGTGTTTGAACTAAAGTCAATACTATTATAAGTAAGAAATAATTATAATGATTGGTATAAGTATTTTTGACACGTCCTTTTCTTAAACTTGGCTCCTTTGTTTCCTTTACTCCATGGAAACTTAGTAGCTTGGACGCTATTTTCACTCTCGAATAAGATTGATAGGATTATTTTATTATCTAAGTAGTAAAAAGAATTCCAATTGCAAGCTGGTTTAAAAAATAATCAAAATTAGTGAACTATTGAATATACAATTAGAGTAGACAAAACTGTGATATAAGATTTACTATTGATGAGAACGTACCATCATTACATACCATCAAATCATTAGAGAGAAACATAGATTAATTAAATATTATAAAATGTGACCTCATTCGTCATTGTATTCAAACAGTCTTCATTATGAAGTAATTTTCCTAGGTTTTAATGTTGTAAGATTAGCAAATATGTCGATTAAGATTTAAAAAGCCAATTGAAAACCACGGTGTTTAAAATGAATCAATGATTAATACTTAGAAAGAAACTTTAATTTTATTTACTATGAGTATGAAAAATGCAAATAGTTAATCAATGTGTATGTGAATAAAATTCATGTTGTCTATTGTGGCTAGCGTTGTACTCTTACAATTGACACTTGATATATCGTGCCCTCGTCGTCCATCCTACTCTAAGTTACGTAGATTTTAATGCGGTAGAATACGACATGACCCAATGAAATCCACGATACCTAGATTATTTGATTTTAAAAGTACAGCTCCAGTCCAAAAGTTCTAGTTTTCCATTACTGGCCACGAACGACTACGAATGTGACGAGCGAAACCAGCAGTTATAAGTTAATAAATAACACTTGCGATTTCAACGCGACAAACGCTGATTTGATTTTTTGTATGAATCGTTACCTATCGTGCTTCGGGAACAGTAACGGAAGTTTTAAGTAGCATTGGGGGGTTCTAAAATAGCGACATTTGTATGAAATATCTAAAATATGTTTCATCTATCAATTCTTCAATTTGACATCGGTGGCATTTCACCTATGTACTTAGTTCAAGGAAGGTATTTAACTGTTACATACTTAGATAACTTCCTTGATTATCAATGTATTGTACGCATTTTCATACAAAACTGTTGAATTGGACATTGCGATTCAAGTTATTCTTCATTTTTATGTTTCATGATACGAATATCTATTAACATTTTATGATAAGGAAAATGAAACTTATTTGTTTCTTAGGTTTTCACGCACATCACTCATTAAATAAAACTAGTTTAAACGGGATACTTATTATTACCAATATATACTAAACGTAGAATCTCGCTCTTTAGAATCCCCTTATTTTCTATTTTCGGTAAAAAATAAACAAATCGGTAAGAACCGATCGTAAATCGGTCGCAAGATAGGTTAGTCCTGCGGGCATACTCGCTTCGCCTCGGCCGGTACATTTTCCATGGGCTCCGTGGCAAGGTACAAATAAGAGTTTAACGAAATATTGGATACAAAACTAAAATATCAGTAGTGATGTTGACGGCACGTAAACACAGGTGCATAGATAAGATCGCTGTTCTTCTTACATGTTCTGTAGCTTTCCTTTTAATGCAACAAGTTAAACATTAGGTATGGGTACTTCTTTAATGTTTTAAATAAAGTACCTACTTAAATTATTTCAATTAAGACCATTCTGTTAGCATTTTATATACATAATTGTAATTATGATCCAGTTACTATTACATCTTAATACGGCTAGCTTTTAGGTGCTTTTGTATACCTTTGATTAAAACAGTGCAATTGTGTACATAGAAATGTTTTTCAATATTATTTTGTATTACAATAACCATATAAGGGTAAGATGTAAGTAATTAATTACTTACCCATTGTAAATGCAATTTATGAATTGTGTCCATCTAGTTAATAAAAGTTAGAGTAGCCAACCGTTTAACTAAAGAACACAAATATTCTAATTGTGGTCAATAAATATTTATAAATTTGGAAACAATGGTAAATCTTTTGTATCATGTATTATTACAATGAAATTATATACAACTAGTAAATAATCGTTAAAAAGTTTTGTATGGGTAACCAATGAATTATTATTAAAAAATAATGATTATTTAGTTATGCATTGTAGATGCTTCCAATGTTAATATAAGCAGTGAGCCTTTTATGGCCGCCATTAAACACCAATATGATCCGTTGTCACATGCAGAATGGTAGCAGTAACTTTTGTATGTAAATGCGTTAGTTATTGTAAGTTTCCACTGCCAGTATTACAACATCTATGTAAAAAACAAAATAGCGTAAGTTAGAATTTAGTGCGTAGCTTTTAATTTGTATTAGTTTCTGCTACTGTTAATTAAGAGAACTAAGTTGAATGATTTTTAATAACATTTTTGTAATAAAATAATGAGTAATAATCTATTTTTCTTTTAAAAAAACATGGAATTAATATAATAGTTGTGAAATAATCACTAACGACGGGACGACAAACTGCAGATTCCTTAGGGGCAATTCACACCGGAATGGCAGTGCCGTGGCGGGCACTTTCAGTGTGAAATAATTTTATACATACTCTATTTACATATTTAAAAACAAACATCGCTCTAAAAGCTCGAAGTAGTCGCATGGCAGTCTAAGCATCCGGTCAAATCAAAACTTTCGACACGTCTGATTGTTTACCTTTATTTATTAGACGTGCGTGATATGAGAAACATCGATTGTTTTTCTTTATATTGGTACTCGTCCGAAAACAAAATACAATCGTCAGTTAGGGCATAGAAACCCAGTTCAATTTTGAAAACCCGGGTTTCCGTGTCTAAGAGTAAACTAAAC